CACAAAAACAGGAGTACAAAACCCCACAACTAATGATATAAGCTACAAGGCTTCTGCAGGACACTCAAAGGGATTCTCAATAATTGTGCTGGTTTTAAAGAGCCCACCTGCACCACCAGGATGGCTGAAAAGACCAGCAGTATCAAAACAGACTGTGTTCCATATACCCTCCTGCTCTGTGCCCTGTCATTCTCCTCTTTCCCTAAGGACAGGCTGCCTTCTTAGCTCCACATCCCACTGCACACTCTGCATAAGACAATGAAAACCCAAAACTCTCTCCTGGCTGGTGTATGGACCCAGCATACGTCTAGATTCTGCCCCACCATCAGAGACTGCTGTCACTTTGGCTATAAACTGACACACAGCATAGCCAAAGGCCTTTCCAAGCACTGGAAAAACATCTTTAAATATCTGTCTGTACTTCTGCTGTGTTCTTGTGTGTTCTCAAGCATGAGCACAGAAACCTTCCCAAAATGCCAATGAAAACAGAAAGGCCACAAGACTGACATGACCAACATTAGCTTCCTTGACCAATACCTGGGAGCTTCTGTACCAGTTTTATTTACATGTCAAGACTAGACAGCCCAGCTTATACTGCCATCTTCAAAATGTTCTTGAGAACAACAGAAATGGCCCCAAGGCAACCTGTCCCATTTGCTGAGCATCCAAGCATGACAATGAGGGAGACCAGCACAGAACAGGCTGGTGCTGGGGCAAACTCTGGATGCTGCACACCTAAATGCTGACCAGAGCCTGTCAGACAGGGCAAGCAGCAGGTATTTTATCTTATTTATCTTACAACTGAAAACAAACTTAGGACAAACCAAAATGGAGCTGCACTCAGAGACTGCAGGTTCACTAATCAATGTGAAAGAAATTGCCACTTGAGGCAAGAACTGTGCTTCTCTAACTCCTGTCTGCTTGTCCCTGGCTCTGTGTTGCCACTATGCCAGTCAGGAAATATCAGAGAACACAAAGACACGTTCCCTTTCCTAAGGAAAATCCAGATGTTCACCCTGCCTTGGACACTAAGTTTCCCTATGCAGCAAAAAGATGAAGCAGACAGATTTGCATGGAAGATGATCCTGATTCCTCTGCATCAGGAACTCTGAAAGCAAGACAAACATTATTATAAAATACCTTAGTAATTAAAAACCCTCTTAAAATCTTCAAGGGCAGGTTGGATGAGGCTTTGAACAACCTGGTCTAGTGGTAGGGGTCCCTGTCCATGCCAGACGGGTTGGATTATCAAGATTTTGAAGGTCCCTTCCAAGCCAAATCATCCTATGATACCAAGCACACACTGTCCAAATCTGAGAATTTCTATACTTATCTTTGCGTATTTCCATAATACAGGGAAACCAAGTTTGATAAAGAGGGCACAATGTCCAAATGTAACTTCAATAATTAAAGCACCCAGAGAACAAGAGACAGTGATAGGAAAAACAAAACAAACAAGCCCAAAAATTCTTTCAAACACAATGCTTTGAAAATGGATGCAAAAACCACTTAATAGACAATCAAAAAAGAGGTTCAGAGAATGACATAATATAAAAAGTGAATTATTTTGATATGGTACTTTCTAGTGTTACAAGTAAACGTGGATGCCTTTATGGAATAAGCTTTGTGCTACTAAAAAAATACACACTTCTAATGGAAAAGATACTGTACGGTTTAATTGAAATCAAATGGCTGTTCTAAGTGTAAGAAAACATAAAGCCTGCTCATCAAAATTTGAGATGTTTACATACTGACAAGAAACATTTCATGTTTCCTGCTGCAGCAATAATTAAGTAGCTGCTTGGGTGACAAAACCAGCACACACCACCCAAATGAACTGTAAGTACTGTTTTTTTATTTGAATATTTAATCTTGTGGCTCACCTACCACTTCAGCCTTTCACCACGAGTTAGGAACTTCCCCTTCCTCTCCGAGAATCAGATACGAACAAAGATATTGACTGTTTGTACTTCAACACAAACATTGAAGACTTCCTTAGAGGCTTAAGTTTTAAGCTACAAAGACACCCCTGAATTTGGATTAATTCTGTGAACAGGCACTTTAAACAGTTTGTATAGATCTGCCATTTGATGGGAAATGTAAATATGACTGACTAAATAAAAACTAAATAGGCCAGATACCCAAAATTAGTATTTTAAAGGTTCTTGTATTCAGTTCTTCCATGTAAGGCTTTATTCTGACAATATACATCATCATGTACTCAGAGTCAATAAATAGTCTCAATTATTTTTTCTACTCTTCCTCTACCCATAAGGAACCATACTGAAGTCAGCAAGACTCAGCATAGATGCCAGAATTACTCATATAAAATAGATTGAAAAATAGAATCAGGGCCTAAGGACCCTAACTTAGTCAGGAGAAGAACCAAAAGTCATCAGCAAAGTAACATCTGAAAAGAAGATTAAGTGAGCAGTTAGTGGGTTTCTGGTTTCTTGCCTTAAACCAGTAACCAGTAACTGATTTATTACTGCCAGGACATATATTTTTCTTGGTGTACTACTACAAAAAATAAAAAAAGGCAGTACTAAAAAAATTTAAAAGTAAGTTAAGCTCCAATATAATATTTTATTTAGAGTGTTTTAATGAAAGGCAGAATGTAAACTGAAACCTCCAATAAACAGTTTTCAAGGTTAATTCATGTCATACAGACACAACAGTGCTAGCTACAAAAACATCCAAGAAGTGTCACTTCTCCCTTCTTACTACCACTACCCTTTCTCACCACTTATTAGTGAATCAACACTATTTAAAAGAGACAAACATTATGTTATTGCTCTGATTGTCTTCTGTATTTTTTTCCAGCTGGGAAGAAATAAGTCCATCATTCAAAGGGTTGCTGCTTCAACCCTTTATTTCAGGTTTCTGTCTAACCAAGGAACAGAGAAGCCCACACACTTTACAACTCTACCAGGCCAAGTAAGCACTTTAACTGTTATTTCCACAACTAGGAATTTAAAAGCATTAAGTCTTGTAACTTGTTCTATTAATAAACAATACTAGCAATAATAATTGGACATTCTTGTAACCATCATTTAAAGACGTCATTCCTTCCCTTCAGGAAAAACAGATGTTTTGTACAGGTCAAGTGACAGAAGAGAGAGTGACACCCACAAAGTAAAGTCTACTCAACCAGACATCAGAGCAGAGATTAAAGTGGTAAATACACTGTACAGGTACCACAGACAGAACTACAGAAGTCCAAAAGTTCAACCCACCCTTGCTAAGGCCAGATATGCCCAAAAGACCTACCAGACTCATTACACCTGGTTAATATATGGCTATATGACTGTAGAATTAATGATGCAGTCATTAGAAAAAAAACCACCTGCTGTCCACATGACATTACAGTATTACTTGTGCATCCATCTGAGAATGATCCAGATTTCTCTCACTCTTCTGTCACTCAAGGAATAATAGCAGCAATAACAAAACAAGTGTTGCATTAACTGAAAAGCAAAATTGGGATGGGATAATGCACCCATAACCCACCTGCTGGCACAGGAAAATCTCATGAAAAGTTGACCACAATGATAGTCTGGGGACCCTTTCAACCTCAGCTATTTTATGACTCTAACTTAGCTCCATTGTGACACTCTACATTCATTAAACTTACCTTCAACTACAGGTATCTAACATCTATCTGCTCCCCTCTGCTCTGGCTGGGTGTAGCCCAACAACAGGAGCCATCACAGAGACCCAAGCTAACTTTCACAGGCTAACTTTCACAGTGGGTAGGCTGGGCTGCCTAAGCATGTTCCAGACTTTTTCAGAGACATATTTCACTCCTCAAGCTCCTCCAAGGATGGAGACCAAGTAACAATGCAGCCTCTCCTACCTAAAGGTTTCTCTTTTGCTCTTTGCTGAGGAAAGGGGGGGTTGGGTCACCTGATACACCCAAGAACATCAACCAGCTCTGGATTCAGCAGAGGTGCTTCCACATTCCTTCATGCTCCATCAGGTCCAGTTACTGCCAGGTACTGTTTGTTCTGATGAACAGTGCGGACCTGCTTGTTCTCCAGTCTTGTTTTCAGCCCAGGTCGGGCATTGCTTTCAGAAAAGCACAGATACAACTGCTAAAAGCACTGGCTGACCCCAATTTCAGTCTGCTGAAAGTCACTCCCAAGCACAGTTGTTAAACTTGAAACATTAGAGGACATTCTACCTCTCCAGAGGTGCTGTGAGAGGAAGCCATTACCCTTACTCCCGCTTCTTGTTATTTCTAAGCCCTTTAGAAATAGATATCGAGAAAAAAAATTCCTGTAGCTACTCCACAATTGGAGATTTTTTTCTTCTCTGTTGAAAACAGGCCCTCCAACACCCTGGAACAGAACCAGGCACCTGCCTGCAGCTCCCCAGCAAAGTCATTTATTTCAGTTTAACATCCTACTTTTTTTCCCCCTCCTCACGTATCTTCCCACCGCCGCAGGCAGCCCGACTTGGTAACTGCCTGGTTTATCCCAGGAACACCGCGGGTGCTGGGGGCCTCGTCACTGACCCAACTGCACTCCTTCGGGCGCGGATGCTCGGCTGAGGAACAAAACAAACCCTGCCCTGCTTCACGCCTGGACTGGTGCACCGCCCTTTGCGGACGGACAAAAAGGGCACCGGCGAGCCGGGCCCCGGGGCCGCTCCCTGCAGGAGACAATCCAGCCGCCGCCGCCCCGGGCGGGCAGCGCTCCCGGGCCTCGCTGGATTTTGATCCCCAGCAGCCACGTCCGCGCGGTGACAAAGCCCGGCCTAACCGATGTCACCTCCTCACCCCTCCCTCCCCATCCTCCCGAGCCGGAAGCCGCGACCGCCCAGCGGCCGCAGCGCGGACCCCCCCGGCCCCCGCGGCCACATCCCGCCGGCAGAAGCGCAGCGAGCCCCACCACACCACCTCCCCTCCTCAGCCCAGCCCATCCCAGCCGGCGGCGGGAGCAGCGGGACGAGGCAGAGCCCGCGGCGGCGGGCGGGCCCCGAGCGCGGCGGGCACGCACCGTGTAGAGCAGGTTGAGGGCGCACAGGCAGTTCTTGGAGCAGGCGAAGCCCCCGCACGCCATCGCTCCGCCGCCTCCGCCGCCCCGCGCGGCCGCCGCTCCGCCAGGAGGCCGCGGCCCCGCCCCCGGCCGCGCGGGTGCGGCCGCAGCAGGTGAGCGGCGCCCGCTGATTGGCCGCCGTGGGGCGCAAAGGTAAATGTATGCAAATGAGGGCTGTGACGTCGGCGCCGTCACCCGCTATCCGGCGGCTCGCGCCGCGCGGGCGGGGCCGTTGCGCCGTCTCCGGTCCCCGTTCCCGTGACGACACCAGCCCCGGTCCCTTGTTCTCGTAGCCCGGTGATGTCACTACACGAATCCCGCTCCCCTGTCCCTGTTCCCCCTTGTTGTGACGAACCAGCCCTGTTCCCCGTTGCTGTGACGACAGCAGCCCCAGTCCCCGTTCCCCGTTTCCCGTTGCTGTGACGACAGCAGCCCGGGCCTGGCCCCCGCCCGCCGGAGCCGCCGCCGTTCTGTTCCCTGCACGAGCGGCGGCGCCTCGCCGGTGACGGCGGACCCCTATAATCCATGGCCTGTGTGATCCCAAGGGAAATATCCAGGGATTTACTTGTACAGACCGTAAAAGTGTTCAGAGTGCTGGTAGTTCTGCCAGTGCTTCATAGAATCATCAAGGCTGGAAAGGGCCAACAAGTCCAACTGTCAAGTCAACGCTGCTGCTGTCATCTTATTTCTTTTTTTAACATATTTTATTTATCTATTTATTTATTTTTACTAAGTCATCTTTCTACTGCACCTCCTTACATACTTGTGTATTTCCTTAGTTTGAGGGTTAAATATTTTCAATTACAATTATTCTGTTTTACAAAACCTTCCACCTGTACTGATAATTTCCTGCTATTCAGTAGCTAGTTTTTGTTAAATGTTCGTACTTGGCTTCAGTGGTGTCCTGGTTCACTCCAACCATCCAAAATCCTGTCTTCACAGTCCTTGTGGGCAGCAGCCTGCTGAGTGATGCTTTATAATAAATACAACAGATCTAATATCTGCCAGCTCTTCCAGTGTGGACATGTGTTGCAGGATTAGTGTCCAAGATAGCTTCTTGTCTTTTTTGCTGGGCTTCACAAAGAGACAAGGACAAGCTTGTTCCTCCCTCGGGATGTCCTTAAGGGTACGTGGCACAGCTGTTTTACTTTATCAGGTTCTGGTGCCACAGAACTTGTGATGGTCAGTTCCTAGTAAGCAAAGGAAGCTGCATCTACTTTCTGATGAATTCACGACAATTCTTAGTAGGAACTTGTCATCAAAACAGTTCAGGGAGGAAATTCCAAAAGTGGGGTTTTTTTTCCGTAATTTGGCTGCCCTTCATCTGCTAAGGAAGTCCCAGTGGGTGACTAATCCTTGCCAGCAGTGAGACATTGAACAGCAGCACACTTTGTCTTTCCTAGTCTATTGCTGAGATCTTTTCTTTTTGGTTTTAAACATCTTTTTTTACGTGCTTTTTGGTATTTCGCTAGACTTCTCCAATTAAATACAATACACTTTTTTTTTTCTCATGTAGTAACAAAGACTTGTTGCTTTTCTATCCATGTATATCTACCTTTCAGCTGCTAGATTGACATCAAATTCAAATTCTGCAATATTTGTGACCACAAATTAAATCTGAATGCTCAACAGCTGCTGGAGTTTTATCTTTCTTTGGTTCTAAACTTGACATCCCTGCTGAAGCTTTGTGAAGTGACAGGAAGTTTTAAAATCTGTGGAGATTTTTTTTCTCTGATAATTAAACTGACTTAATGTTGTGGCTAATTTGGCCTATTGGGAATGCAGATTTACTGCCTGGAGCTACTGCATTACTGGGCCATGCTTTTGATCCTTTGGGCCCAACTCTGGCAGAGCATAAACCCAGTATAAAAATCAATTGTTTCAGTGTAACTTTATTAGCAGCTTTACCAACCAGTAAGGACTGGTTTCAGAAATTGTCCATGTGATAGAAAAGTGTATTTTGGATGTATGCCCTTTCCTGAACACAAGCAGCCATCAGCATATCAAATGTTTTTGTTGGATTTTGTTGCAAATGCTAACATCTAAAGTTACTGTGCCATTGTTGCTTTGGTTATAGTGCTGAATTATTTAATACCATCATCCACTGCCCTTTATTTTAGAAGATCTCTTTCACTGTTAATTATTAAAAGCTGTACCTCCGCTTTCTTAATTAATGCTGGTGTTTCTTATTAAAGGACCCAGCTCCTCAGCCTGTCATGGGTGGGAAGTACCTTTTACATGTTCCCTGCTTCGTGTGCAGGTAGGCATCTAACCATGTGTGATGCAACCTGTTCATACCCATCTCTGACCATAAACTCTGGGGCATAGTTCAGCTGATGTAAGCACTCAAAGGCTCCAATTAAGTTAATAGATCTATGACAAATGTAGCAGGGGTCCTTCCTCCAGCCCCCTTCCAATTTTGTTCACAAGCTATAGTACAAACTTAGACTAATATGGTTTGGATTTAAAATAACACTCCTAGTGATACAGGCGTTGGCTGTGCTGATGTAATTTCTGATGGTGGTCAGCAGTGTGTCTGTGCTCCCATTTCACATCAGGCTTCAGCACTCAGCTTGTGTTCTGGCTAGAACTAAATTGGCTCAATTCTCTTAAATGGCTAATTATGCCTTGCTAGCTGTGAAAAGACTCTCGTGCAGTTGGAGGGAAATCTGTCATTTTTGGTAGGGAAAATATAGATAGCGATACTTTGATATTTTTTAAGCTTGTTAAAGCACCTGGTCCAAGTGAGGATCCTAGGTATTTGTCTTCTCTGCCCTTGTCTTTACAGGGGATAAATTCTGCACTCCCATCTCTTACACAAATCTTGAGCTGTCTGACATAATCAAGAGCAGAATATGCCTTTTCCTTTTTTTCCTCACTTTTTTGTCTTTCTGGTGCTTATTCTCCGCTTCCTTGCACAGTCTTTGTTCTCCTGCCCTTCTGTGGTATGTTTCAATGGCAGTGCCGGCAGCAGGAGGAGCTACAAACAGTGTGGATTAGTTTTTCTTTCATGGGAAACTGCAGTGGGGGGAGACTACACTGGGCACTTGTAATGCTGCTGACGTGCACTTACAAGACAGTACAAAAAGTAAATGCCTCTGCAAAGGGAGAGGGGAGTGGAAACAACAGAATTACTGAGGCTCAATGCTGGTACACTTCTTACTAGTCCAAAAAGCTTAAACTGAAGTTGTTTGGGTGGTTTACTCTTCATTTCCCAGTAAACTCACATCAGCTGGATTGTTTTCTGGAGGATTGCTGCATGAAGCCTTTTATTGTAACACACTAAATGAAAACTCAGCTTATAGCCAAATCTGTTCTGTGTCTGTAGGCTGTGGATCATGTGGTACTGCTGGTTTCTGTTACCTATTATGTGCCTGAAATCTAAAGCCTGTGCCACTTCTTAGGCACAAATTTGAAAAGTGAAGGCTCAAGTATGTACAAAGTTCTCCTAAAGTGTAAACTGTTGTCTTAAAACTGAGGCAGTGTGACCTTTTTTTGTTACTCTCTACTATTATGGAGAGTCTAAAATGTTGTGAGTGAAGCATTGTTTGCAGAAATTTATTTTTATCACTTTATTTTTCCCACGTTTACAATAAGTCGTTGACAGCACTTTAGGTATTTCATTTCACTCTTTGTCTTGTAAAGTAATTTTTCTTCCCTTCATTTGTATAAAGTCTCTCATGCACATCAAAATCAGGGAGGGGGAAAATAGGGTTTAAGAAAGCCAGGTGTTTCCAGGAGTATATTTATTGTGTACAGTTGACATATTTAGATGTTAATCTTGAGGTGAATAGTGTACACACACAACAAGACAGGGTTTCAGCTGGCTTTACTTGGAATAAATAAATTGCTTATCCTTTCTTGGCAGTTGATCATTAAAGCATGTTCCTGTGCCAGTTAAATATGCCTGAAGTTTGGTCATGGCCATAGAATCTGTCAAAAAAGGCTGTGGAGTAAAATGCTGCTGTGAAGTAAAATGCTGCTTATCATCAATCGTTTTTCTCCATGGATGTAGAATTTCCAATGTCCAGTCATTTCTTGTGTCACTGGGCAGCACAATCCGAGTCATCTCAGTCACCTGAACTGCCTCAGTTATTGAGTCATGTCAGTTAGTCACCTTAGCTGTAACTATGACTGGACATATGGAATCAATTAAACATACATTTAAAGTGTTATCTGCTGTAACAATCAAGATTAGTTTTTTCTCAAATTCATCACAAATGTCCTGTGGACATACCCCAGTTATTTCCTGAGGTGTTAGTAATGAATTGGCTGTGCTGTGGTTGCTTGCAGTCATGAAATTCTCCCTGCTTCCTGGAACAAAACCAGTTCCCAGCAGTGCTACTGCACTTGTGCCATTCCATCACCAACCTTAAAGAAGCCCTTTCTGGCACTAGGAAGTGAGGAGCAGCATGAGTAGGCGTAGCTGTTGCAGGATCTTTGCTGTCTTACAGGTTGACACACAAGGTGTTGTGGTGCTGTGTCTTGTCAGTGATCATTACGAGCCAGACATGGTGGAGAGGCGAGCCTGGCATATAGAAAATATTTGTCAGTGTTCTTTGGAATCTTCTCTGCGGAGAAAAAGAATGTACAAAACTGTTTGGCATTTTTATTTATTTCTTTAGTGAAGTGGAGCATTGTAGATTGAGAAAGGGAAATTAGGACAGGAAAATAGGCCATTTAAGTAGTGTGGCTAGAGAAACCCACAACTAGGTCAGAAATTAGCTCCTCCAAAAGCACAAAGACATAGCTCCTGTTCAGTTTAATAAATCTAGCAAGTGGTTACAAAGGAAGTAATGGTTTGTTCATCTTTGCTCTTGGAGAGACAGATAATGAGTGTATTCTTTGACAAACTTCTGACCAAAATCCAAATGGCATAAACCTCTTGGATCAAACCCAGAAGTTAAATTGCTATTAGGAAACTACCTAGAAGGGAGACTTACTCAAGCAGAAGCAGCAACAGGCAAGTGCAAAACTGGATGGAGTGGCTGTATGCCCAGCCTTGCTTTTTGAGCCATTCTTTATGATTCCCACCAGATACACCATGCAATGGTGGGAAATAACA